ACACACACACACACACACACACACACACACACACACACACACACACAGACACACATACATTCCTACATTACCAACAGTGGACTGTCATGCTGGTCTAACCAAGTGTGGTCTTCTGTTTCTGGTCATTTTGAAAAAACAAAAAAGAAATAGCAAATTTACTTTCAAGGTCTTTCCCCAGAATATTACTGCAAATGTGCTTTTTAATTAGTTTTTAAAGAAATTGCCAAGAGGGGACTTGCATCTTTGAGTGATGTCTACCTATCAAAAAGCGGACTTCCACATACTGCAATGGAACTGCCTGTACCCTTTTTAGCAGCGGAACAATCATATGCGCATGCAAATTAGCAAATGATGCATTTTCCAAAAAAGAAAAAAATGAATTTCCATGTGCATGAAGGGCCCAGTAATTATATTCAAAGCATATTGAGAATAATACACACATTTCCACCCCCACCTCAGTTGCTCAATGGCCCATGCAGCATGCATGCTGTCTGAGATCGGCAGCCAATTTCTCCCCCTGCGGCTCCCTTATCTCTGCCTCTCACTGCTGCCCACTGATAAGATCCAATAGATTTTTTTTTCTCCTTATAGCGATAAACTGTGTGTGTGTTTTTGTTTTTCCTTTCCAGAAACATTGGTTTTCCTGTTCTTTTACCTCGGATGGAATTCATTCGACTAATTCAGATCCTCCTGATCAGGGCAACAATCCTTTTTGTGGGGAGTTTACATGGTCTTTACTTTTTTGTTGTGCAGGTTTTCCATGTCAACAGACATCCAAATCAAGTGAACTGTAGGCTCTACATTTATATACTCTGCGTGCATAGGATGAACAAAAGTTAACCGCCCAGGGTGCTCTTTAGCAATGCATGCTGGAACGGAGGCATTATAGAAGCAGTTCATGTACTGAAATGTCCTTCTTCTAGTTAGAGGAGAATGAATAGCTGTCCGTGTCATTTTATTCAGAGCAAAAAGAGCCTATTATGTTCCTGTTACATATGCATCACATTCTTCACCACACAATAACAGATACAGACATACTCCTCAGTTCTTTCGTTTCTTTCTTTTGCATACATTGTATTTTATACTGTATAAACATAGTACCATGATATGCTTTTTGCGATCCATTGGCAGAAAAAAATGCCTGTACTGTCGCACAATATATGTACCATAGAACATTCCATGATAAGGCTAAAAATACATAAATTCCATCACAACATAATAGACCTATTATGGCCTGGAGTGGATTTCCAAGGATGTACACAAAGCAGTGATGCCGTCGCTCACACGTTCTTTTCCTCCCGCTGATGCATCCCACATTGTAGCAGAGCGACGGGATGACGACCTGGAATAACATCTGTTCGCCAAATGTACAAATGTGTCATTTCACCCTGCTGATTGTTTTTTGGACAGTGTTTCAATCTTCCTGTTCCGTCTCCCATTATTTTTTTGTCTGAGGAGCAGTACATGAGAAACGTAATCTTTGGTTATTTTCATAGTTTTCTGTAGTAAATCATCTGTTTTCAAAGACGAGGGTCAACGTGGCAATGTTTCCATTCTCTCTTTCACAGCCCTCCCTCTTTTATTGGCCACGTAAAATCTCTCTCTCTCTCTCTCTCTCTCTCTCTGTGTCTGCAGTTTCCTCTGGTGTGTGTGTTCAGACAGGCTGTGCTTCTCTGAAATTCATGGTCTTTTCTCATAGTCAGAATCACAGCGGGTGTTCCAGGGCGCTGCAGGCTAGCATTGTCCCAATGAAGAAACACTGTATTATCAAGTTGTTAGTAATTACTGTTGCAATATTGAATAGCATTAGACTATTATATCAAGACTGATGTGAGCAACCCAGTCACCAGAAACAATGTTGGCATTGGAGGTTTCTGTAAACGAGATGCGTTTAACCTGGATGTTTCTGAACCAAAAATACGTCTCGTGAATGTGTTTTACATCAGCCTCGTATCGTGCTTGCAGAAACGCGCAATGCCACGTGGTTAACGTTTGTTAGGTTTAGGCAACAAGACTAGTTGGTTAAGGTTCATAAAAAAGAAACATAACGAACAACCGTAACTATACCGTGAATACATAAAAAATGTCCTTAGCGGACTTTCTTACATAAGGTCGACTTATAATAGCGGCTTTTCACTTCATCACTTGCTCTGATCTAATCCAAAAAACGTCAACATTCAACATATCTGTGGTTTAGCAGAAACAATTTTCTCCTGGCGACTGAGCTGCAGTGAGCAATCACCTTTGAGTTTGATCTTCAACCGGAACAGAACATCTCTTTTATTTGAATTGTTACCTATCAGAGAGTCAGATTGACACCTACAGCAACACCTACTGTAACAGCACATGCAATGTTTGATCAAACACGGGTCAGCAGTGCGCTCTACAAACGGCGGATGGAGGCAGAAAGCCGTGCACTGTAAGCCTGCAATCCAGAACCATCTGTAACGTCATGATTTCTGCAGACTTTACCATAAGCGTATCCTTCTCGCTCTATCTCAAAGGGGCAGTTGAAATATGAAGACACGAGAGCGAAAAACCCCTTTCCCCCCTGATGGATGGTTGTTTTAAGGGTTCTTTAAGAACATATATTAGCCTCTCTCTCAGGCTCCGGGTTTTCAGAGCATCTGCTCTTTTCCTGGCTCAGCCCCCAGCCTCCTGCCCCCCCCCCCCCCTCCCTGCCATAGCCAATAATGATCCCACCCAAGGGGGTTTTATGTCAGCAGTGCATAAGAAGTCAGCTTGTCCAAATCAAACTCCTCCAGATGCACTTTCCAACAGCACTACATTAGCTTAAGATGTTGCTTCCAATATGCACACATTATAGACAGATGAGAGAAACTAATCATGGGAGAACAGCTCACTAATGGCAGTCTGTCCAAAATGACTAAAAGGTTTAATACACATTTCTGTTGATTTCCCAAAGAGAGAGGGAAAAAAGAACAGCGACTCAAAGAGGAATGCAGTCCTTAAGCCATTACAGTCCATTAAATTGTTCATCTCTGGATTTTTTATTTTATTTGCTAGTGCATATTTTTATGTGCTTTCACTTGGATATTCTGAGCTTTGCTGTGCAATGTGTGCTCGTGTGGTGAGTCACCTAATGATTCCAGCGTGGGCTGCGACGAGAGAAAAGCCACTCAAGTCTATCCAAGTCCACTAGTAAAAGGCCGTTTTTGATTGGGGACTAATTTCAACTTCCAAAGACCTCTTACTGTAGGAACAAGTGTTCCTCCATTGCTGTTATCATGCCTGAGGAAGGTTCAAAAAAGAGAAATGTAGAAAAAACAAAAACAAAAAAAGGAAGGATGAGAAGCAGGAGTTGCTTGTTGCGAGGGCAGCGAGCCCAGAGAATGAGTTATTACCTGGGACAGGTGTCTCCTAGATCTTTTCCCACAGAACATGAACTGACGTGCCGCCGCTTCACGCTCCGCCACCCACAGGGAGAGAGGAACGCAAGGAGGGATAATTACTCACCGAAATGAGTATCATGTTATGGAGAACATGATCTAAACAAAGTGAGGGTTGGGGCGGAGGGGGGATGTAATTTGAAGAGGCAATATGTAATGTATGTCTTGCATTATTGCGTTGCTTATAATTGAAAGTGCACTGAAATCGTATAGGCCCGAGATTGCCTCAAACGTAAGTGTTCTCCGCTCACAGGGAGGGAATTCGTTTTTTGTTACATATATTTAACCAGAAATCATTCGAGGATTGTTGGATTATGATGTTGCACACGACCCCATGTTTATCTCCCTCTCGATATTATACACGTTTTTCTATCTGAAACAGGGACATGATAGATTCTGAAATTTGCCTGCTGAGTGAGTCACCAGTCAGCAGTTAATCATGGTAACACCACATCATCACCTATTACTGACACTGACGCTGCGGCACAGATGCACCCTCTCTCTCCCCCCGACCCCCATGGGATGTATCTGGTCCCGATCATCGGGGGCCCTGATCTGCACACATGTTCGTCGGCGGTGTGTAGTAGGGACCCTGACTGCTCAGGAGTACTGCTCAGGAAGCTCCAGGGAAGATAAACTGTCGACAGACAGCCACCTTCCCACGCACACAAACTTTCGCCCGGCTGACAAAGAGGGTCCGTGTCAGAGTGATTGTCAAGCGGAGATTTATGGGGGCCACTGGGTGGCAGGGATACATTCTGCTGAATTCAGTTGGACAGACTTGAATGTAATGTGTGGCAGTTCCCATCTGCAAAACTAAATGATAAATCCAAAAAGAAATGTTTTTTCTTTTTGTCATTTACATATATTCTGTATAGAATTGTGCAGGAATTGTGTTTTTGTAAGCCAACCCCCGGAAGTTAGAATCACACTGGTTCCCTTGACAAAAATCCAAAGGGAGTTTTTCCATTTGATTTTGAATTACTGCAGTAAAGAAAACTCTCTGTGGCAAAAAAAAACACTTATGGTGCTTACATGTTTTCTTCAGCCAGATGATCTTCACAAATGAACGCCACTTTTTTAATTTTTGAAGCGTGAATGCAATCGGCTGAAGTAAAAGGCCAATGCAAGCCACAAACTAAACATGAGCGTGAGTACGCAAAATGACGCCATGAAGGCGGACTAGTCGGAGATATGATGTTTAGTTTAATTTAGCCACTTGTAAGCAACCACTTTTAAAGACATTTAAAAGCGAGAGGGATATTTACTGATGCATTTACATCGTAGAACAAAATCTCTTTCAACCGCAGACCTTATCCCAGGCATCTTAGCAAAAATCAATTCAAAAAATCTATTGACTTTAAGATGAGGGAACCTGGATCTTGCAAAAATGCTGACTCATTTCCAGGTTTTTTATAACATTTTTCCCGCAACTCTAGTGCATGTTGCTACTTCTGTTTTGTGCTAGGCTACCGCACTGTGGTCTTCAGTAGATGTTTTTTTTAACGTGCCAAGGATTCAAGAATCACTTATTACTGAAAAAACTACAAGTTCTGGTGCGTTTCAAGAAGCTAAAAATACTTTAATATGCCAATGGTTTGATAGTCTGAAGAATATTTCTAGCCAATATATGGCTACATTGCAATAATATAGAATTTTATCTTTTGAACAGCCAGCAGAGAGCAATATCCCACGCAGAGCCTCGTTTTTTTGTACAATTGTACAGATGTTTCATTAAAATAGTTCATTTTCCTCAACATCATATTATCTCTGTGGTGCAGAAGCGCACTTTCCATATTCTTCTCTCCCTTGAACCTGTTCCCAAGTGTCCCCTGAGACGTATCGATAATGAGAAGAGACGGGGGACTCGCCCGTTGCTAATGACTAATGGATGGCCCTTGAAAAAAGGACGTCACGTTTACACGATGAACGTGTCGGTAGAATGATTGAGTGTGACATACAAGGCCCCCTTGCTGCTAAATACGCTGGGTGCAGCATTTATAATAACTCGTCAACAGCCTTCTTTTGCATCACATGATTTCCTCCTCCTGTTTTTCGTGTTGCTCACCGTGGCCATCAGAATGAAGAGAAAGAGTGACGGCAAAACCACCTGCATAGATCCTCTGAACACTGGACAATAAATCGCTGAGCGATTGAAGGGGAAGCTAAAATATCTTCCTTCAATTTTGTAACAAAAAGGGAGGTATTACTTACAATGTGCACATGTATGCATCTGAAGGGGAATGTGTATTTCACATCCATTAAAACAAGTCAAAGGAGTCAAGTGAATCCTGTAACTCCAGCTCCTGTCTCCTGGTAGTGCGACGCCGCCACCGCATCAATTTAAGACAACACTCGCCCTGTCTTGTAGAGTGTTTTGGCGACGGGAATGCTTCTCAGTGTTGATGAACAGCACGGGGTGCATTGTGCTTTCCCTTTCAGACCGCGGCTACTGCGACTGTGGGACGTGTGAGTGTGACGAAGGCTGGTTCGGAGAGGCCTGCCAGTTCCAGGAGGAGTGTGACCTACCCGGCAAGAAGAGCAAAGAGCTATGCAAAAACCCACAGGGGGTGGTGTGCTCCAACAGAGGTGCTGCGACCACACGCACACAAACTCTCACACACACACACACAGATGTGTATACCCACAATGAGTCATACACAGTAGCAAGAAAAGTACACTCAAGCATTGCCACAAATTTGCAACAAACAAATGGACATAATACACGCAACATATACATACAACAATCACATGCGTCTTTTACTGGACTACAGGTTTATAATTTGCACACTTTAAACAAATATATATCATACATGCTATACAGACGAATAATACACCACTGTTAAAGGTTGCCAGGTTGTGTAATCTACTGATGTTAGTAACTGAAAATCTGATTTACAAAGTTAAAACTCATGATTTGTTTGACAATGTTTTACACATTTTCTAACAAACCACAAAGTCTACAGTTAATTACAGAAAAAAACATGAGCCATGAGCATTTCTTTCAGTTAAAAGCAGGCAATAGGTGCTGAGTGAAGCCAATACGGAAGTTTCTTAAAACTTGCATTCTCTCTACTGGCCAACAGGGGGCGACTCCTCTGGTTACAAAAATAAGTCAGATTGTATAGAAGAAGTCTATGAAAAAATGACTCTACTTCTCTCTTGATTTATTACCTCAGTAAACATGAGTTTATGGTCTCAATCTCTAGTTCCAAGTCTTCTTCAATACAGCATGCTCATTTATTAAATTATGGTCCATTCATAGTCAAATAGACCATAAAGCAGGGTGTGCTTTAGGGCGGGCTTACTGGGATTGACAGGTCAGCGACTACCAGAGATGTATACAGTGTCTCTACGTCACTCCTCCACATTCCAAATATGGTAATTTCTGTTCATTGATTGCAAAAAAAACATAGCAGCGATCGTATTCCAAATTGTCAATCTCAATTGTCGCTCCAAAACGGCAGTCCACAAACCAATGGGTGACGTCACGATGACTACGCCAACTTCTTACCTACAGTCTATGGTTAGAAGAGACACTTGTAATATCTTTGCTCTCACACACTCCAGGAATTCCAACAATTCAACAATTCCCTTTCACTTACACAGATGCACTGGAAAGACTGGCATCTTGAGTCAACAATACTGTCTTCAATTTGGCCAGCTAACAAGCCAGAGGTTATTTGATGCACACAGTTGTAGTTCGTGCGTCTATGTCTGTGGACACATGAGCCACAGTGCCTCCCACCTAGATGAAGGCTGAATGCGTACAGCATCTGTGTAGATCAAACGCAAATCGGCGCACCATTCGAAAAAAGCACACAAACACAAACACAGCTTCGCGGCCTTCAGACACGAGTCCAGATCCGTTGACACACGACGCACAGATGGAGCCTCCGGTTTGCACATCTGCAAACCAGCTGGGCTTCTTTAAGTGCACCGCACTAGAATGTACACAACCAACCACATACTGTAAACTTACACACACACACACACTCTTGACTTTTTTTCTAACACATGAGCTTTTAACTGTGTCTCATATCTTTAATAGGCACCTGCCACTGTGGCAGCTGCATGTGTAACAATAAGGACGACAGGGGTCTGGTGACGGGACGCTTCTGCGAGTGTGAGGACAGCGAGTGTCTGGACGAGGACAACGGGGAGGTGTGCGGAGGTATGTCTCACACCCTCACTCCACCAACCTTAATTTGGCCTAGCAAGTCTCAAATAGTAGCAATAAAAGCAAAAAGTTATTTTTCTCTGTGAACATATGATAAATAAATACAAAGATAAAATCCTAAAATCAGGACATTTAAATGAGTAATGTAGAAATCTGACTGTCAATCTATAACACTGACAGAGGTGAACTCATCAGTCGTCGCATGTGCATTCTGATCTGCTTCCAGGCCATGGCCAGTGTTACTGTGGAAACTGTTACTGCGCTGCTGGTTGGCATGGAGACAAATGTGAATTCCAGTGTGACATCAGCCCATGGGAAAGCAAGCGGAAATGCACATCTCCAGATGGCAAAATCTGCAGCAACAGAGGTCTGTTTCCCCGCTCCAAAGCCAGTAGTCAAATTATTTCATGATTTTTTACTTAATTTGTCTTAATTTTTTTTTCCAACAGCCAGTATGCTGATGCATATTATCATCGATTCACAGAGCAATAATGTACTGGAATAATAAGTATGGCAAGGACGCTATGCGATTTCTTAATCGTCACTGCAGCTTCTAAACCCATTAGAATCCACCTCATGACAGTGACAATTGAATTGTGTTGCTAGGAAAGAGGAAACAAACATTGTAAATGGGATCAAGTTAATTTCCTGTCTATTAGCTAGGGGTCATAAAGACAACTAAAAGACACATGCTGCATCCGAAATAGCATCCGATACACTACACACATGTGTACTGTCGTTCAACATACTTCTGTGTAAATAAACAGTAGGGTGGATCTTTGTGGATGCAGTGAACTGTATATACGTCACTTCCTGAGAGCCTCCATGGTATGCCTACCTCATGTGACCAAAGGATGATTTTTTTAGAATCATAAAGTCTGAACTAATTAAAAGATATACGTATATATATATATATTACACCTAGCAAAGTGGAATCTTATACGTAAACTTACAATCAAGCGTTATTGACATGACAGCTGTCCGCCATCATCTATTATGAATTTGGCATTGCATTGTGGGGTATTTACGTCAGCACTGTGTCCAGTCTTTGCATAATGTAATACATCACCGGATATAGTATGCAGTTCACACACTAATGGTTTCATACTAAGTTTTTGGAAGTATTAAACTATGTCACATACTGTTTTAGCGTACTAAATAGCATGTTAGTATGCTACAGGAATGCACTACCGCTTTTTGTTTTGTTCTTTTTTCTCGTGTTGTAAGTGGGTTGCAACTGCACTTCGTTGTGCATCATTGTGTTGCATAATGAAGAGAAATGATTTGTGAATCCTTAAAACTTTTGAACGAAACCACTATCCCCGAAAGTAGTGACACACGGGAAGAAATTTATGGAATTTGAAACTCAACATAGATTTAAATAAATCTTTCATCCTTCACAGTTTCCGGCACGTATGACACGAGAACCCCAGTTCAGCTCGTCTTCTCCTCTCTGACTATCACAGATGAAAAAGAGTCACTTTTGACATCCAACTTTTGAACTGAGTAGGAAAAAAAAGAAAATCACTGGAGAAATACAGAGAAGAGGAGAACTCAGAGAATGGACCGGTTGAAGAAATCCGCATGTTAATTCCGCTGAAAGTCATCAGAGCTTGGCGGACAGACAGTCGGAGAAACAGCTTTACTAACCCTCGCTCAAGTGATCCTGCGGGATTTCAGTAAAGTTCTCTAAAATTAATTGGAATGGACTGGCTGAGGACTGGCTAAGTGGTAGGGGCCAAATGGTAGGCTGCATGGACAGAGCCCCATGATTTAATAGTTAAGAGCACAGCCGACACAGCATGAACAACCGTCGACTGTGGTCATGGTGTAGAGGCCCATTGTACTCCCATTTAGGAGAGAAAAGGGCAGTCGAAGGCCGGACAACCCCAAGAGTCACCGGAGAAAAGAACAAAGGAAATATGACTGCAATTAAAAAGAGTCCATCTCAGTTCAAATCAACCTAGACACACTCTTTTTGTGCTTGCTCTATTAGCTTGACAGCGTTACACAATACATTCAAAAGTACTTGTTATGATTCAATTTATGAATTCATTCCTTTTTGAAACATTGTTAGAAGGTGGGAAAAGATGCAGGTTTTATTGCTTTGATTTATTTTCCTTTATCTTTCTGTTGAGCTGTCAATGAAATTAAACAAACATGTACAGGAATTCACAAAGACTTGACAACAAAATGCATCATTTTATGACAATAAATAACAAGTGTTCTGGAGCTACTGGTTAGAGCCTGAGCCCGGCTGACGTTATTTAAAATTTGGGTGAAAGAAAAATGATTGGGAAAGATTGTTTTCTCATTTAGTTACTCCTCTTCGAGGCAAAACCAAAATATGATGATACCGTGTGGCTCTAGTTTTATGTTAAATTGTACTTGGCATAACTGATACAAAATACTACACACCTGTACTGTAAACTGTCCAAAACACCACTTACCGACATGCACCGCCATCAAATATTAAAGCACAGTGTGGCCTAAAAATATTATAAATCCTGTATTTTACCCCCTCAAGTATTGTAAAAATATGCTAACATATTCCAACATCTTTTTCATCCTGCCCCATTTGAGTGCAACACAATTCTCGGAAGTCAGACAATTTGGTGCTGATTATAATGGGAACCATTCTCAATCCCCTATATATGGCACGTCAGAATTAATCTTCCTTTTAAAGCGTGTGAAGATAAGTCCCAGTAATTATGGGAGATGGATCAAGGAAGATGATTACACGAGAGGGTTGATTTGATTTCATCACCCTGTATAGATGTGACGAGTTCTTGTGCGAGGGTTGGAAATATCTCCTGCTCCACTTACGCTCCGAAATGAATGAGTGAATGATTTGAGTGATGGGCATGCAATAGATAGCCTCTGTTTCATTCCAACAAACTCACCACCCCCTCCGTCTGTTGGGTTCACCTAGCCGCCGCAGTTGAGCTAATAATACACTGTCAAAAACGATAGCAGCCACATAATGCTGGAAGCTAAATACGTGCATATGTGATTTTTTAATCACAACAATTTGAATGGGAGATAATATGGCTGCACGTGGCACACAGAGAGGGTTGATTCCCCTTTTGTGTTGAAAGGGGAGTTTGCTTTTTAGCTGGAAAACAGGGATTAAGTTAGAAATTGCCAAACGTCCTCTAATGGAGTCCTGAATTTATAGAGCATTTTTTCAACTAGCACAAGTGCTGTAATCTGCTTCCGGTGAAGCCAGACTGTCACATTTGTGGCAGACATGAAAGTGCATGGCTGTATAAATCCAGGGCTCCGGGGTTATGAGGGTGGTGAGGGGAGGACTGCATCAGGGCCAAGGGCCAGACACGCGCCAGGCACAACCCGGAGGCTTGCCAGCTGGCCTGGCTCCCCTGGGGGTTCCCCATGCTCTGTCACCGCTGATAAGAGAAAATGGGATTTCCACTGGCTGCTGCTTGGGCTGATGCCCTGGCTAAGATGTAAAAACAAATCAGAAAGAGACAGGCGGACGGATAAGTAGATAAAGGAAGAAAAAGTGAGGCAGATGTTGGCTGCGGCCTAAAGTAGAAAACGAAATCCTTCCAGCCACATCAGTGCAAGAAGCTTGCCCTCCTTTTAGTTTTTTTCCAGTTTACATTATTGATTTATTTGGACTGTACTACTATAAAAATAAATGTACCATGGAGAATTAATACATTGTGAAATAATAGTGTACGTGCGGTTGTGTTTGCTTTGTGTGTGTCAGGGACTTGTGTGTGTGGAGAGTGTAACTGTCATGATGTAGATCCTTCCGGCGACTGGGGGGATATCCACGGAGACACCTGCGAGTGCGATGAGAGGAACTGCCACGCGACCTACGACCGCTACTCCGATGACTTCTGCTCAGGTGAGCATGCTGTGTTTGGATTCACATACCTGTTTGGCAAACATTTACAGAATTCCTCATAAAATTAGTCAAATAAGTACATGGTTCAAGAGTTTAGGTTCACTTAGCTTAGCATAACGACTGAAAACGGGGGAAGGCAGCTAGCCTGGCTCTTACAGAAGGTAACAAAATCTGTTGACAAAAAACAAGTAAACCAAAGTAAAAATAGCAGTTTTCTGGTGTACAGGCATAAATGTGACCAGTAACTTTATGGCAACTGCTACCAGACAAAAAATAGTCCGGCATATAATCCCCCATTGTTACTTGACACTTTGGGGGTTGTACAAATAATACAAATGATAGTCATGCTCGTTGGAGTGCTTTGGAGGGGCTGGTAGGCAGATCTTGTTGCCTTTGGACAGAGCCAAGCAAGCCGTTTCCTGCCATTTCCAGTCTTTATGCTACGCTAAGCTAACTGGATGCTGGCTACATATATAGATGTGATATCAATCTACTCATCTAACTCTGTGTGAAAGTAAAAATGCAGTTTTTTTCCCCAAAATGTTAAAGGTGGTATATTCAAAATTCAGAACATATCAGTGATTTAGGGAATGCCTCCACACGGCTTTCAACATGGAGATGGCTTAGCTAACAACGCTAACAGTGCAAGCAACGGCAACATTGACAGTGTTTATCTGAAGGGGTGGGTACATCAGCTGTAACCTCCGTGTAAGAGCAGTGCAGAGCAGCAGTCATTAGCTAGCCAGTGGGGGGCACACACATGGACTCACGGCCGGGCCGGCTATGTAAATATAGCACAGAGAAGCTCGGATAAAGAGGGAGGGGGACTCCATTCTCTGCTCAGGACGCCATTACTCCACAATATCTTTACATAACAAATAGTTGTCCACTGCTATTTTAATGCTCTGAATTCCAAATTCAGCACCTTTATAGTGTTGCTTAATAAGATAACTGGCTTATGCAATGCACAACCATAGTATATGATATTGGTTATGTCAGTGCCATGTGTTGATCTTAAACTTTGAATAGCTGCAGTTCAACGACACCTTTCCATCTAGTTCTACTCTGGTGCAAGTTTGAAGCCGTAAAAGTGAACTTTCTATATAAGACAGATCCTACCACTGTGACTGCTAACAATGGATGTACCGGAACATGTATCTTAGCATCCATGTTCATAGAAATCACATTTTTCTGTTCTTTAGTGCAGACCTTCATGTCAAGTTAATTGTTTGAGAGAATGTGGACACAATTCACATCTTAATGTCTTGAATCTCATCTTTCTCCATCAGTTTCTCTTTCTCTATCACCCAGACAGACCAGGTTTAATCAAAGGCCATCCAGCAGCTTAGAGGAGGCCAGACAGTCAAAGCTTGTTCAGCCGACGCTCAGAGGACACCCAATCTTCTCACCTCCAGCGTGTCCTGCCCCTTGCTCCCCTCTCTAACACACTAGCTCCCCTTTTTCCCTCTTCTCTGCTCCGTAACCCATCGAACTCTCCACCCTGCTTCACTCAATGCTGCTTTCCCCCCCTCAGTATACGCTCAAAAGGAATTTCCTTGCACAAAGCCCCTCGCTTTGTTTCACCTGTCTGCCTCCTCCACTTCTTCTCCTTGGCAGGTCATGGCCAGTGTAACTGCGGAAGGTGTGACTGCAAGGAGGGATGGGCCGGGAAGAAGTGCGAGCATCCTCTCTCCTGCTCCCAGTCTCCGGAGAGCAGTCTGAAGAAGTGTCGCGGAACGTCCAATTTGCCCTGCTTCGGACGAGGTACCTGGTCTTCCCTTCCCGCTCCTGTTGCCATGGTTACTGCAGCAGGCTTGCACTCTGTCGTCACCTCTTGGTGTAGAACAGGCCGTTTCCAGTGTTTCACATCTCTCAAACTATCCTTAAGAGGGAACAGAATTAAAGCAACCTGCATTTATTGTGGTGCATACATGAATGTACAGTATATGCAGGTTTGTACAGTATTACTGCTTGTATGTGTGTGTTAATGCCATACATATGCATATATATGCTTGAGATTAAGGTGCACCATATGCCTGTGAGCCGTCGCTGGAATAGTTCTTTTGATAGAACAAGCAGTGGGTCGATGTGTCTAGATTTATCACAGCGCAGCGCATGCTTTAGTAGTGGCCCTTCTGGACAGAGGAAGCTTGTTTTCTTAGAGCCTCTGAATGCTGGTCCTAATACAAATATTAGTCTCAGATACTCAGAAGGCATCACTGGAAACCCTGTGGTAAGAAAAGAAAAAGTTCCATGTTCCCTTGTCCTCCCAGTCCTTGAGCCTGTTAATTGATGATAGTAAGGTGGAAGTGGGAGGGGGGGGGACCGTAGTGTCTATTTTAGGGCTATAAAACCAATATGCTAGACTGTTTGTTTGTTACTGATGGGGTATCTATCTGGGATCGGTAGAATATTCAAATGTTGCTGAATCCTGATTGGTGCACAGAATTACATCTTCTGCAAGCTTCTGCTGCCCATTTAAAGCAGGCTTGAATGTGCATGTTTATATAGGACCCCATCGCTCATAGTCAGAAGATTGAGTTGAGTTTTTTAAGGGCCTTTAAATACCATGAATATGAGCCTGGACGGCGTGTTATACCCTTGAAATAACCAGGGACTTCTCCACAAATTGCTGTTTCATGGATGGATTAAGAAACACATGTAAAACTATAGAAACATTGTTTTTTTTTAAATCATTACTGCTCATGAATTCTTATGCAAAAGTAAAACACCCACACTCTTAATATAATTAGTGGAGTGAGAAAAAAAGCATTTAAAAAAAAATAGATGAAGGTAAAAACATGCAGTCAGTCCATTAACCGCTCAGCTGCTACATTAATTGATGTACAAACCAGCGGTTAAGATTATACTGAACTGCTACACATGCACACAGCCCAAAGCTTCCCAGCCAAAGAGGGGAGAACAAATGACTCAGCTTTTGCATAGCTGCGCTGCTTAATCTTTACAGGTGGTGGATATAAACGCCCCAGGCCACGTCTACAATATACTGCGTTAAACTAGAATCACATTCTGAACCAAGTGAGCCAAAAGGTACGGCATTTATACTACAGTCAGGTTACAGTCGTGCAGTTGTAAGTAAAGACACATGACAGTCTATCAAACGGTGTTCATCCGAAATACCAGACATTTGAATAAAACAAATAAAACTGTCAATCATCTATTGTACAGCTTAATTGAAATTAACACAGTTGCAAGGTTATTCATCCATAGAATTTCCAGACAACATAAAGCAAAGCCGAAATGATGGTATAGCCTTGCCAGAGAGCTACTGTGCCTGCGTCCAGAGGTAACAATGCACAATGGTCACGTTACCACTGTTCTCGGACTGACTGACAACCTGCATTTTTCCAAATAAGATAAGGTAAATTGTCTAGCGGCCATGCAGTGCACACTTTGCAGTCTTCTGAGGCATCCCTTGTATCTGTATTTTACACTGATGCAGCAACCATAATAAATCAGTTGTACAGTGCTGTATGGGGCATTGTTCAGTGCACCACTTCTCTTTTATTTTTGCTCCAAACATCGTTTGTAATTTTCTGGGGAATACCCGTCAGTGTTCCTGTACTGAGAATGAGATGACAAAAAGAAAAGGTCGAGTTGAGTAAAGCCTCCTGAATTCTGTTGTTCTCACGTTTATAATGTAGTCGGTGGCGGGTGTTACTACAAGGGGTACAACCTGCTTGGTCTCAGGGATGTGCGGATTTATCAGGGGTTAATCTGAAGCATTGATTTCCTGTATCATGTGACTGTGGGGGACGTCAGTGGGGAATGCAAGGTTTTTTTCAGCTGCTGCTGTGTTCCAAATGAAAAGGACTGGAGATTACTGTAGGTTATTTTAGTGGCCATGGACATTTCTCACACCCATGGATGGGAAAGCTGCTGATTAGATCAGGGACCTGCAACCATAGACTGTAAGGAGTGGACGTAGTCACGAGGCGTCACCCATAGATTTGTGGACTACTGTTTTGAAGCCTCAAGTTCCACATTTTGGTCGTCGCCATTTTGGTTTTTAGCCATCACCATCATGTTTTTTTTTACAACCAGAAGTGACACAAGAGGGTTGAGCTGACTACAACGAACGCTAAAAAAAAGAATTTGTTAGGTAACCATAATGTTACAATTAACTTTCATGAAGTTAAAACACAATGTGAAAGGTTTAACTTTAAACGAAAAACACAAACAACTCCCAGACTGGACGACGACATGGTAGCCACCTGTAAATCTCAATTTAGCCACGCCCTAAATCATATCCTGCTATGGTCTATTTGACTATTAAATTAAATGGACCATAATTCACTAAATGACCTGTCAATCCCAGTAAGCCCACCCTAAAGCACACCCTGCGTTATGGTCTATTTCACTCTAAATGGACCATAATTTAATAAATGAACATGCTGTGTTGAAGAAGACTTGAAACTAGAGACTGAGACAAAAACTTATGTTTACAATGTTTACTGAGGTAATAAATCAAGTGAGAAGTAGAGTCATTTTCTCATAGACTTCCATACAATCAGACTTCTTTTTGCAACCAGAGGAGTCGCCCCCTGATGGCGATTAGAGAGAATGCAAGTTTAAGGCGCTTTGGCTTTGGCTTCACTTTTCAGACACCCTGGTTGCCATCTGCCTGAAAGATAGGCATGGTTGCTACCATGAAGACAACTGCATTAACATTATCCATGATCCAACAATTGAACAATGACAGCAATACAGAAAACAGAGCTCACATAATGTAACTATGATATTGGCAAAGTACACTCTACAAATAGAACCAATTTGCCGCCTTTGAATACATCAACTATTCATTACATATTGTGTCCGTTTCATAAAAGACTTTTTGACGTATTCAAACCAATTCCACAACAACATGGTTGAGCAGGCATGGCGGCCCCCCCTCACATAATGAAACAGCAAAGATTAACTTGTGCTGAGGGAGTTAATTAGCTTTAATTCCTCCAGCAGTACCTTTAAATTATCTCCTATTGCTGCAACAAAATGGAACTTTAAATTACCCTGTGCAATAGAACAACTAATGGGATCAATAAATTCTTCCTTTTAAAAATTGCATTTTGTTTCAGCCATCCCAATCTATGCAGTGACAGTTTAAAGTCTGGTTTAAAGAAATCTGCTGAGGCCTACAATTTCCATCACATGTTGAAAGCATTGTCTGTGTGCCATAAATTCTCCTGTTCCTCCTCTGTTATTAGTAATAAAATGTCTGAATGTACTGTTTACCGTCTCTGGTCAGATATACAGAGGAGGGAAAGTATCGGGGCTGTGATTAGAAGGAAGGTTGAATGTGTGTGCATGCATACCTTAGTGTTTGGGGTGGCGTGCGTGCGCATGTCTTCCTTTTTCATAAGATGCCCATTTGGTTTAGTGTTTGGAAGTTCACAATGGCTGGAAACAAACCGGTGTAACAGAGTTCATTGCAAGGCTGTTACACCGGTAAGAGAGGGAAAGAGAGTGAGAAACACAATGAATGAGACCGGAAGAGTAAGAAAGAGAGAAAGAGAGAGAGAGAGAGAAACTGAAGGAGACAGATGTAGAAAATCACTTAGGCATGGATGAATGCGACTGGTCTGAGGTGGCAGCTTGAGCGGAAAAGCCTTGAAATTCGAAACAGCAGCTTCGGGGCTTTTCTTCCTTGGATAGCACATTCTTTACACCGCGGTATTTCCTCAAGGAAACACCTGCTTTCAACATCTTTCTGCTGATTCTTGGGATTCCTTTCTCTGATCTCTGAAGTGTGGTCCGTAGTAGACATTGAATATGTGTATGCATTTGTTTGTATTCAATCCAATCCCATTCAAATGTATTAATAAAGAACATGTACCAAAGAGCTGTACGAATCAAAATGACAATAACCATAACAAAAAATTCAATTAACACACAAAAAGAGCAAAAGGACAATAAAATAATAAAAGCAAGACTCAGACTGAATAAAAAGCCTTGGAATAAAGATGTGATTAAATACAGTGTTTAAAATCAGGCTGTGTAGGGGCAAGCCGAACAAGCAGGGGTTTCTTGCTCCAGAGTTTGGGGGCTACACAGGCAGCCACCTCCGGATCTGAAAAGTGAAGCCAATTCTTTCAAAGAAACTTGCATTCTTTCTACTGGAGGGGGCGACTCCTCCGGTTGCAAAAAGTCTTATTGTAGAAGTCTATGAGAAAATGACTTTACTTCTCACTCGAATTATTCCCTCAGTAAACATAGTAAACATGAGTTTATGGTCTCAATCTCTAGTTTCAAGTCTTCTTTAACCTGTTACCACTCCAGTAAAATTAGTCGAAAACACCTATCCAAGGCATACCCAAAGTAAATTGAAAGCTGTTCTTGAACCATTTGGAGTACATACATGGTTTTGGTCTCTTTTGAAAGGTAACACTCAGCAGTAGAAGGTTTTTATTTCCGCCTAAATATTGTTTTGCAAACAGATGCCTGCAGATGACAATAGCTGGGACTTATTAGCTGGAAAACACAATGGGACCACAACATTAAGCCTTACCTAGTACAAGTTCAAATTTTATAACAATACCACGGAAAATGAATATTTTACATATGTTTTTCTAAGGGTATGTCTAGGCGTTTTCCAAAAAAGGCCATTTGGAGACTCATGGTAACCATGGTAACATACCTAGGCTGTGTACAAATGTGTAGTCATAATTCAATCTAAAGCTTATTAATGTCTAAACACAGTTATCTATTAGTTATTTCGCCATTACTCACTTTCCAAGGTTCTCCAA